GCTGTTTAGTAACCTTTTCAGTGTCTATAAATACACTTCTGTAATATTTGTAATGGCTGCCTGGCATCTCTTTACACATATGTACCATGTTATTTTCTCTTACACGTGTGCATGCACATATGTGTGTTCCAGAGCCCGAGGTGCGGACGATGGAGGTCGTCTTACTTTTCAGTTCTTGGCACAGCAGCCTTGGCCTATGCTAAGGTTCGTTTATTAATGATTTAACTGAGAGCTCCCTGCTATCCCCCCTTCCACTCTGTAAGAAATAATGTTAATGGTTTGTTGGTTGGGGTGTTTTGTTCCCCCACTAAGCTTTATGTATTTAGGATTCAACTGTGTTGCTAAGGCTGCATCTGACCCAGTGCTCCTCACTCCTGTCCATAGCCCTGTGGTGTAATGGATCTTCCACCTTGTACCTGCCTACTTTTCCAGGGATGAATACTTCGATTAATTGGTTACAGAATTTCCCCTACATAAATAATGCTATGAAAATATCTTTGTGGACATATGCAACCTTCTTGGGATACATATTTAATTTGAGTGATGATTGCCAGATAGTCCTAGAAGGGCCGCACCAATCTACATCCCCAGCAGGACATGCAGTTCCCCAAACCCCGCAACCCGCCTGCAGTGTAGTATCCAGCTTTCTCCTATTTGCTGGTTTGACATAAAAGTTTCCCTCGTTTCCACTTGCATTTCTCCGATTGCTGATAGAATCAAGTTTGTAGTATTAAATCGTTCCACCTAAGAGCAAGGAATATCTCCTCGTTTATTCAGAGTGTTCTGAGTTTATTTAATCACATATCATTGCTACTTAGGTTGTTTCCAAAAAGAAAAGAAGGGAGGCTCGAGTCTCATAGCAAGCCCAAGAGCCAACAGGTGAGGAAGAGGAAGGGGCGGCCGCCTGTCCTGTGCTGACCGTGGCAGGATTCAGCACCACATCTTCACCAGGCAGGTGCTCAGAGAACACTAACCAGGGATGGGGTGAGTGTGCAGAGGGTGTTCAAAGAACTGCACTGCTCAGGGCAGTGCTTGTGGCTCAAAAAAGTAGGGTACTGGTCCCATATGCCGGAGGTGGCAGGTTCAAACCCAGCCCCAGCCAAAAACTGCAAAAAAAAAAAAAAAAAAAAAGAACTACACTGCTTAATCTTTTGTGAGCAATGACAGCTTTTAAAAATAATCTGTTGATGCTTTTCTTTTTCAAGTCCCACAATTTTCAATATGTGAGTTCAAATTGTAAAGACACTGGAGACAGTGGGAGTGGGTGGGATGGGTGAGAAGAGCCTTGGAGTCTGGCAGTGAGAGCAGAGAGACTCCCAACCCGCCTACCCATGAGGCTCCGACCTTGGCTGAGGGCTCCTTAGCACTTCTTCCCATTCGGTTAGGAACCGTCCTCTTAATGGGGCATGGAGCATTTCTTCAGCTCACTGGACTCCTGGAGCCTCCCATGTGTTTCTGCTACTGGCTGATAAAATTAAGATTAGGGAAAGAAGGATTTTACATAAAATCATTTGGTGCAAATCCAAGGCCAAACCCAGTCTAACAGAATCACAATATCTATAGAATGGGAATCTGTTTTGTAAAGAACTCCCTTGTCATCTTGGTATTAAACCCGCTTTGATACACTCTTAACCTGTCAGGCAACTGACTCCAGCCCAACATCAGGAACCCCAGTCATGTCTTACTTAGAACTAACCACACCCTCTTTCACTGTCATCCAAGTTTCTCTTCAGTATTCAGGGCAAATATTGTTAGCCACCCCTCTTGCATCTTACATGGATATAAGAAAACATTTAAAAGCCATTTATTGTAAAAAAAAAAAAATTATTGTATACTTTGTAAACTTCAAAATTACAAATGACACTTATTGGAGAGTTGCACAAGTGGAACGATACGATGGTTTCCTGTCTGGGAATTTTACAGATAGTGCCTGTGCTGGCGGCCATGCTGTGCTCAGTTAAAGGCAGAGGTTGCTGGCAGAGGGAAGGGTGTAATTCTCTCCCAGAGTGCAGGGCTGCCGCTCACGCAGAGTCCTCCGTGATGGAGGCCAGTCAGCTTTTATGGACTTCAGTGCTATTTGCTTCAGTACACTTTGAAATGCAGGGTCAGCTCACTGAGCTACATCACGCAATAATAACACATTTTTATAGGAGTAACTTGTCAGAACAGCAACAACACGCAATACATAAAACCAATAAACACACCATGTCTGCAGATTCTATCCTAGTAACCAGGATAAAGCAATAAAATTGACAGCAGCCATCAAAAAGCTCCCTTTCTGACTTTGGGGAGGTGAATTTACTGTTGCTTAAAACAGAGAAGCTGTCACAAAGCCTTAGATCAGCACGCAGTTATGGGGTGGCAGGTGGCTCTCGTGGATGAGAGCAGCCTGAGGAATGAAAGCACGACGGGCAGTTGTGCCCTGCTAGGGCAGCAGACCCTGTCGTCATTAGCACGATGCAATCCACATCAGAGACTCTTCTATAGAATGTTTTTGTTTTTCCAAGTTACATGTGAAGTATTGTGGAGGGCAGTGTCTAGGGGCTGGTAGATCAGCAATTAGTATTTCCCATCTGCAGCTTCAATCCGAAGGCCGGGAAGAGCTTACATTTGGCAGAACACCCAGAGACTCGACAGGGAGATGGTGTCTGAGACTGGATTCCTAGAGTGGGGACCTTCTGCATTCTGAGATGGGAGAAGTAAGAAGAATAAACTATCATTAGGAACAGGGAGGATCAGCCAGGAGCAGCGCCTCAGGCCGGCATCCTAACATTTTGGAAGGCTGAGGTGGGTGGATTGCTTGAGCTCAGGAGTTGGAGACCAGCCTGAGCAAGAGCAAGACACCATCTTTACTTAAAATATTTTAGCTAGGCATAATGGGCAGGCACCTGTCGTCCCAGCTACTTGAGAGGCTGAGGCAAGAGGATGGTTTAAGCCCAAGAGTTTGAAATTGCTGTGAGCTATGATGCCACAGCACTCTGCCCAGGACTACAATGTAAGATTCTGTCTTGGAAAAAAAAACAAACAAACAAACAAGGAGGATCTTACATAAGACCCTATGGCTGGTAAGCCAGAGCCAGCCTCAGTTCACCAGAATCCCAATAGTGGGGGGTGAGGCTCAGGGATCCTTTTCTGTAAGATTTCCCTATGGGGTACTGGTGGGAAACCCACAGGAGGCCCAGGAAATGGGCAATGCTAAGGGAGGTTGGAATGGGCATGGTGGCAGGACCAGGAGCTGATAAGGGCTCTGGGGTCAGATGCCAGGCCACATGCCAGCAATGATCAAAACTATATTGAGTTCTTGCTATGTCCCAGGAATGTTCTAGGATACTGCTGGATGAACTAATGTCATGGAGACAGGAGAAGACAAACAAGTTTCAACAGGTGAGGAAGATGGGAATCATTATGAGACAGTAAAACAAGGTGCTCTGAGAGTGACCGGGGCCTGGCTCGAGGTTGGTTTGGGCTGACGAAGTCAGGGAAGAGCTCTAGCTCAGAAAACATATTAGCACTGAAATCTCAGGGATACAAAGGAACTAGCCATTTGGACACTGATGACAGAGACTGCCAGGCAAAGAAAAGAGCCAGTACAAAGGCCTGAGACCCCTGAGCAAGGGAGAGGCCAGGCCACTGCTGTCCCCCTTCCTGCCTTGCTTTTCTGGGGTAAAGAAGAGACCGGAGGGCTGGCTCCCAAGTTTCCACTCTGTCCTGATCTCCCACTATTGTGCCCTCCACCTAAGAGCTAATCAATTCTGATTGACCATCAAAGCTGACCAACTTCTAGTTCAGCCTGAGAGCCTAGAAAGCCAATCAGACTTTCATAATGGTAAGTAACCATCTCTATGTCTAACCTAAAGTTGATTACAGAACTTACCCCAGGCCTTATCAATGTAACACCTGGGGCCGGGTACTCCCAGCAAACCTGTCTAGCATTCCAGACTTCAGAAGACACCAACCTACATGACTGTGACCCTTTTGACCTTTTAACTGTGGCCTAAGTTATGACACTGCTTTTTGTCTGTCTGAACGGTGGTCTGTCTTCTGTCTGTCACTGGTACAGCCTTCGCTGACACCCCCAGCCTCAGTAGAACCTGCTTTTGACCCAGCCAGCCGCACTGTGCTCCCAGTAGCTAGAATGCAGGGTGTCTTCTTCCACCACTCCTCATTGTAGAGATGCGATCTCAAATGCTCTCTGTGTAGGGTGACCAGATTTTAACATTTGTAAAGCAGGACAACATGGGGAGGGGGGGGTAAGGCGGGAGGGGGGCAGGGGACAGGGCAGGGCAGGGCCTGACAACAATGCAAACTTTGATAAGCAGTTCTCAATAATCACTTGTCAACAATTATTTGTTATTATTACAGTTTAACATTATAAAATTAACAAAAATAATATAAAACTCATATTTTGGCGAAATAGCCACATGGCAGCCGAAAACCGTATACTCCCTTCCTGTTCTCCTGCCCCTTGGTGCATTCTTTCCAAAAATCAGGACTTTTTAAAAATGCCGTGGGACGTGGGACAAATTGTTAAAAATCGGGACGTCTGGTCACCCTATCTCTGCGCTAAGTGAGCCTTTGAGTGCCAGCCTGGAACCTGAAACACCATTTATCTCATGGTTCCTATGGGGAAGAGGCTTCTAAAGCCAGAGCCCCAAATGAGAAGAGCATTTGGACCAGGGCCCACCTGTAAGGTGGGTCTGTAACAGAAGTGGGAGACAGCAGAGAGGTAGAGGGAGTCTCCTGGGTTCTGAAGTAACTGAAGGAAAAGTGGCAGGAATCCTACACCTCGGAGGGCAGAGGGATCCTTTCTTTTTGTAGCTGTTTGCACCCTCGGGGGCATTATAGAGACTTGGACATTAAGGGAGCCTGTGTGATAGCAAGCTTCTTTTCTCAGTCTTTTAAATATATCTTATTTTTCTTTTTCTCATTTAAAATAAACACTTTGCTCCAAACTAAGTTTCCCAAATAGCTACATTATGAGAACCCAGAGGCAAGCACCCTGCAGGAGGTGGTGGGCAGGGCAGTGGCCTCCGACTGCCAAATTGTGGAGGCTGCTGGTCACCCGTAGGGGTCAGGGGATGCAGAGACAGTGTGTGTGGTGCTGGGAGGGTTGTCGGTGAGTGGAAGGGGGTGGCCTCCCTGTAGGCTGTCCCTGACACAGCCTGTCCCCGTCCCCTCTGTTCAATGTGAGGAAGTGGCTCTGCGCCTATCACAGCAGCGTATGACCCTCTGGCCCTAGTCGGGGACCTGCCAAGGAGGCTCATTAGCTTAGGGATTTACAGGGGTGAGAAGGTTGGGAAAGCCCACGGAGACCTTGCCCAGCTTTAGGAACCACTCTGAAGAGCCCGGCCACCAGCACATGGATTCCTTCCCTTAGAGCCATTTTGCTAAACACATCTACTTGCCTTCTCTGCAAACCCTCAGCACTAAATGTGTTGGTATTTCCACCTGAGAATGTATTGAGCTGCAAAAATGAGCAGAATGGTGAACAAGAATAAAAATACTATGAGAAAGAAGATGCCCAAGACGGTCATCCCACAGGAGAGCTGGACAGCAGACAGCTCCACTCCCCTCAGAGCCGGGGGGTTTGCACACACAGTCCCCTCCAAGCTCTCAAGTTTCTGCAGGTTTTCTTTGTACCATGTTAAGAAACGAACATTGGAACAAGTGCAGTCCAGGGGGTTTTGGCTTAAATTAATGGTACTCTGCTGGGACAAAACGGGCAGGAGATGGGCAGGGATGATGCCAATGTTGTTGGCTGCCAGATTGAGGTAGATCTCCTTAAGGTGACTCAGAGAATTGATGCTGTCATGGGTCAGGCTGTTGTGGCTTAAGTCGATGTGACTTATATTTCCAAGGCTGTGGAAGGCGTGAGGCTCAATGGAAAGGAGGTCACAGGAGGATAAAATCAGGATCTCCACGCTGCCCACTGTCTGCAGCAGGTTGGTCTTTGGGATAGTCCTACCCGGAAAGCGGTTCCCGCTGAAATCCAGATACTGGAGATCTGCCAGGCCTGCTAGAAGATGCCGATTGCTGGTATCAAGGGCGCAGTGGGAGAGGTTCAGAACCCTCAGGAAATGGAGGTCTTGGAAAGGACTTCGTGAAGCATCAACGTGTAAGTGGGTAAATGCCAAGTCCAGGATTTCTAGCCTAGGACATTCTCTGAAGGCCTGACTCTGGAGACCCAGGGGTGCGTTGTAGCTCAGGTTCAGGCTCTGCAAGTGGATCAGACCTTTGAGCTGTGGGTTGCAGCAGTCAGGATCCTCTATGTCATCATGGCTTAAATCAAGTTTCTGAAGATTCTTTAGTTTTTCCAAACAGGCAGCACCAAGGTGAAGTTTCTTCTGGTTGCCCTTGATATAGAGGTGTGTAAGGGAGGAGAAATTGGTGGCATTGATTTGACACAACTCGTCAAACTTATTTCCACTGAGAACTAATCTCTTGAGCAAGTTCATATGCTCAATGCTGGAAGGTAACTCTTTCAAGTGAGTTGCCGTCAGATCCAATTCCCAGAGTCGGGTGAGGCACTGAAACGTGGAGGCTGTGAAGTCAGAGAAATGGTTTTTCTGCAGGTTGAGGCTCCCAACAGACATGTCACAGAGTCCCTTGAGCATGGCAGAACTAATGTCTTGGTTGGAAGTGTCCTCAAATGCCCCCAGCCAGAGGGACTGAGTCGTAGAGTTCTGCAGACCATTGAATATGACAGACAAGTTAGAAGTCCCTCCAAAGTTCAAGCTCTGGAAGACTCTTGAACTGAAAGCCCCAGGCTCAATACCTTTGATGTCATTGCCATTGAAGTTAAGGCTCAAGTCGGTGGACTCCACAGAATTCAAGTCTTCCCTAGAGAGGTAGTGGATAGCATTGTTCTGAAAATCCAAAACTTTCAGATTCTGTGTGGGGAAGTCTTTTGGAAACTTGATAGAGGAAATTTGGTTGCTTCCAAGATATAAACTTTCCAGGTTTTCCAGATTGTCTGCTGGAATAAATTGGAGATTGGATATTCCTGTTTGAATTAGGAAAAGATGCTTCAGGGTCTTGGGCCCATTAAGTGCTGTTTCTGCCATGAATATCAGGGGATTTCCAGTTAACACAAGAGTGCTCAGTTGACGATGGCTTTCAAAAGTGTCTTCATGTATCAAGTTAATCTGGCATCTTGAAAAAAGTAACAGTATTTAATAATAATTAATTGGGAAAAAGGGAAAAACCCTGTCACAGTGATATGCATTAACAAGGCCATCTTTAAGATACTGTAAAAACTGATTATTATTCAAAATCAAACATGAAAATTTCCTTCAGTACCAACAGATGGCCTGTGGAATTAATTAATGAGTAGTCTCACTTCTGAACACTGATCTAGAATTTTTTTTAAACAGCTTTTCCCATTAAATTGAACATTCAGAGGTTTGTGCCTATATTCTATGCAACAACAAGTGGTTTGCTTATGGACAAAATCAAACTATTATTTACTATTTTAAGTAATACAAAATGTACGTAATGCATAACAGATCATATGTGATATATAACATATGAATCTAAGAATCTGAACCATCCTGGGCAAGTTAGAACTTCTCTCAAACTGTGCATTTTCATCTATGAATATAGAAATAATGGCTACGTTGTATAAGTTCTATGAGTTGAAAGGTATATGTGAAAATTCTCTGTAGAACTGGAAAACACAGGAGATTCAGAGATGGCTGGGCACAGTGGTCACACCTGTATAGAGATGGCCGGGCACAGTGACTCACACCTGTAATCCTTGCACCTTGAAAGGCCAAGGCAGGAGTATTGCTTGAGCTCAGGTGTTTAAGACAAACCTGAGCAAGAGTGAGACCCCATCTTTACTAAAATAGAAAAGTTAGTCAGGTGTGGTGGTGGGCACCTGCAGTCCCAGCTACTATGGAGACTGAGGCAGGAGGATCACTTGAACCCAGGAGTTGCTGTGAGCTATGATGATGCCACTGCAGTCTACCCAGGGCTACAGAGAGAGATCCTATCTCAAAAAAAAAAAAGTTCAGAGAAAACAATCCTGGTATTGCACCTAAGAATCCTGGTTTACACACACACACAGCTGATTTCCTCACTTAACCATGAGCTGGCTGGTCATATTCACCATAGCCACCTGGCAGTGCTGGTCATAAAGATGAAGCACACTGTGGACATGAATGTTCTCCTTTGCAGAAGTTTAAGTTGGAGAAGTTTAAGTTGAAGTAAAAAAAATAATAATAACAGAGGAATTAGAAAGGGGCTCTGTATGCAGAGCCCCTTCCTGTCTTCACACACATACACTCTGCACAGTGTTTTCTTGTAATACTTCTGCCACCTGGTTCTCAAACACCAGGATTCAGAATGTGGATCCTGATTCTACCATTAAAACATGGAAATTCTTTATCCAAAAATTTTTTTTTTTTTTTTGGCAGTTTTTGGCCAGGGCTGGGTTTGAACCCACCACCTCTGGTGTATGGGGCCGGCGCCCTACTCCTTTGAGCCACAGGTGCCGCCCTCTTTATCCAATTTTTATGGGGAAAAAGTTAGGAGATCGTATCTGTGTTTCTCCTATAAATTTGTCTTATATCACCCAATAATAAACTATGCTAAACTGTAGTATAGTTTGCCATCTGATTTAGTGTAAAATTATTTTTTTTTGTTACCAATATCCTTGAGCGCTTCTTAAATAGCACTATTGACACAACTAGCTTGAAAACGATCCATTTTTCCTTCCGCTGATTGGTATTTATTTAAATGCTATTTCACCCTCATAAAACCATTTTATGGGACAGTGTAAACATGCTGGATGAACAGGTCGTCTCTGGGCCCCCAAAGAAGATCTTGCAAATAAACAGAACATGTTGTGTTGTTACTTAAGTAAAATAGCCAAGAGTGTACAAGGAACTCAGATACGGACCTTGTCAAATCCAAAAAGGTAAGATTTATGAGTCTGCTGAAGGTTCCGTTTTGAATTGTAGGCAGAAAATTAAAGCTGAAATCCAAAATTTCTGTTGCATTTGAGAGTGTGTCAGGAATTTCTCTGAGACCCAGATTTTCACAGTTATACGTTCTGTTGGCTTCTTCCTAATGGGAGAAACAATGTCCATTAATATTCGACTTCATAATTTGAGCAGCAATCCCGTTCCTACTAATATATACCAAATATACACAAAAACCACAAAATGATTTATGCGTAAGATTCATGATAGTATTTGTTTGTAATAGTGAAAGGTTGGTGACAACCAGACTATTCATCAATATGACTAGTTAAACAAACTGTGGTGTCTTCAGAATGTAGAATCTTCTGCAGCTGAAGAAAGAATGAGAGAGATCTCTACGCATTCCTATGAAGTCACGTCCAGGATATACAGCAAGGTGGAAACGGCAGAGGGCAGAGCGTAAAACAATATACATAGTAGGATTATGAATTCAGGGAATTGTGAATTTTGTTAATTCATAAAGGAGGAGAGGAACTGACAGATGACATTAGTAGGCAAACACCAACAGTCGCTGAATGTAGTGTGGGAAAAGCATTCTCCTAATCCTGACAGGAGCACAGCCACTTTAGGAAATCAGGTTAGAGTGGTACCCGTAGCTCAGTGAGTAGGGCACCAGCCACATACACCAAGGGTAGCCAGTTCAAACCTGGACTGGGCCAGCTTAAAAAAAAAAAAAAAAAAACAATGACAACTGCACAACTGCAACAACAACAAAAAATAGCTAGACATTATGGCAGGTGCCTGTAGTCCCAGCTAATTGGGAGGCTGAGGCAAGAGACTTGCTTAAGCCCAAGAGTTTGAGATTTCTGCGAGCTGTGACACCTGCACTCTACCTAGGGTGACAGCTTGAGACTCTGTCTCAAAAAGCAAAAAAGAAAATCAAGTCAGAACCCAGCAATCCCCTTCCCAGATTCCTGGAGTGCCTCAAGGCCAGAGTTTCTGGAAACACCCTACCCATATCCTGACCCTGAAGGTTTGCCCATAATCCACACTCGCTCTAGAGAAGACCCTGGAGTGGAGGGTACCACTCACTGCCATATTCCAGCTATACTGATGAGGCTGGTAAAAGCCTTTTGCAACTGCAGAGAGTCAAGCTGATACTGGTCAGGCTCCATTCTCCTTTCTCCTCTATTAAAGTCTTTCTGGCCGAGTGTAGTGGCTCATGCCTGTAATCCTAGCACTCTGGGAGGCTGAGGTGTCTGGCGGATTGCCTGAGCTCACAAGTTTGAGACCAGCCTGAGCCAGAGTAAGACCCCGTCTCTAAAATTAGCAGGGCATTCTGTTGGGTGCCTATAGTCCCAGCTACTCAGGAAGCTGAAGCAAGAGGATGGCTTGACTCCAAAAGACTGAGGTTGCTGTGAGCTATGACACCATGGTCCTCTACCCAGGGAAACAAAGTGAGACTGTCTCCAAAAAAAAAAACCAAGTCTTTCCTTGTTCCTGGCCTGCCTCCTCTACTTTCTTGGGGACCCTCACCCCCGCCCTGGTTCTGCGCAGACCCTCTCATGTTCTGGAGGAACACTCATACATGAAGGAACTTTCTGCTAACTACTTTTATGCATGTTAAAACATTTTTCTTAATACAATGGTTTAAAAAGTTAGCAAGGTGACACAGAACTTAGGCCTTGTGGTCTTGTATGAATTAATGTGGGGCTCTGCATTTGCGGGTGGTTGATAGCAGACCCAAGCATTTGGGCACAGCCCTGCAGGTAAGTAGAGAAAATTTCCTCTTCCTGTGCCCCAGGACGGTCAAGCATTTAGAAGTCTTCCAATCACTGCCTGTTAGATGCCCTAACACAAGTCATAGCTTAGGAGTGGTTGGTTAGAACTGTGGAGTCATAGTTTATCTGGATGGCGCTTTAAGATGAAGGATAGTGGGGGAGATAGGGAAATCTGGTGGAGTGTATTTTGCCCAGGGAGGGTCCTAAGAAAGAAATGACCTCACAGGGAAGAGTTGGCTATGGTTTGAATATGTCCTCCAAGTTCAAGTATTGAAAATTTAATTGCCTTTGAAACAGTTGTAAGAGACATGGCCTTTGGGAGGTGATTGGTTCATGAAGGCCCTGCCCTCATGAATAGATTACTGTTGTCATCACAGGAGTGGGCTCCTGATGAAATGAGGTATTTGGCCTTTATCCATTCTCTCTGTCTCCTGTACTTACTTCTATATTCCTTATGGAAAAAATGCAGTAAGAATGCCCTCACCAGATGCCGGCACCATGCCCTTGGATTTCCCAGCTTGCAGAACAGTGAGAAATAAGTTACTTTTCTTTGTAAATTACCTAGTCTGTGTTATTCTGTTATAGCAGCAGAAAACTGAGACAGTCCCCTTGGAGACAAAAGGATACAGATTTTCAAGGACCCTGGGCCAGCTCCTAGATCATCTCTGGGCCCCTTTACCCAACATTCCAGCTCTTGCCTTTCCCTGACACCCAGGCTCACCGGAGGCTGTGCTGGCCTGGAAAAGACCTACCCAATCAAACTCCCCGCTCGGTGGCTGCTTAGCTGGAAACAGAACTGCATCCATCCTCCTTCGCCCTGAGGTGGGAGGCTTCGGAGATGTTGCCACTGTAATGGCTTCTTGCTTCTCTTGTTCCAATTTCCACTTAGTGGTGCACTTTTCGTAGCTGCAGTGAGCTTGCTCATCTACAGAAAGCCACCAGTTTTCTTCAATAATGTGAAAATATTATAACCATCACTGATAAAAATGCCATATTTATATTTCCTTGTAATTCATTCTTTGTTTTATAGACCCAACGTCCTTCAGGCACTGCCACAAATCCACATAATGTCCTTGAAATGCACATTTTGCATTTAAAACTTAGATTTAGCTGACTGGTGGGAAAAAAAGAAAAACCCACATGTTGCCAGACTTCTCCTCAGGGCCCATGAATATGGACGAGCCAGAGAGAACATGTATATGCAGCAGCCAAGGTGGCGATTAGCTTGGAGGAGACATTTTTCTTTTCTGGTCTCCATGGGCGTAACTGATGTCACATACGGTTGGAGAAAAGGGACTTCCTCGATTCGTCTTGCTCTACTCTGGCCCTTTAGCAAAAGGCTTCACGTTGCCAATTCCCTCCTTCTCCTGAATATATAAGTGCCCGTGACTCCTAAATTATTCCGCGGCTCAGCCTCTTGTGTGCTTTACTAAGCACTTTACTGCTCAAATGTGATTCAGAAGGTTAAGAATCCGGGAGGAGCTCTACTGAGCCAGAGGCCTGGGGAGCTCCTTGAAAATGGAAAGCAGGTAAGCGAAATAGCCGGCTGCTCTCCACCCAGCACCACTGAGAAGCAGTGTGACACTACCATGGAGGCTCAAGAAGCCCTCCGCGAGCCTTGTGCCATCACATGAAGTAATCTCCAGTTGGGTGAAGATGGCAGTGGATCCTCTGCCCTTGATTCTTAGGAGAGAGAGAGGCAGGTGGCAAGAAATGCAGCTGATGAGAGAATTTAAAAACCAAATGCGTTTCAGAGGATGTCTTCTCTGGAGGGGCTCAGAGCACATGCAGCCCCTCCCTTTTAGCTTTTAAAGCCACAATTACATTATATAATCAATACTGCCGTGAGGATGGGGACGCCAGGGCACCCTGTCTTCTGGAGTCATCTAAGAGGCTTTAGATTGTTTTTAGTCAGTTGCATTTTTTCAGACAGGAAGCACACAGGCATACACCATTGTTCTCATTCTTTTTGACTAAGAGTTAATTACTGACATCGCGACCCTAAAGCCCTAAGTACCTCACTTTGTATCTTCTAAGAACAAGGACATTCTTTTATACAACCGCAGTGCCATTATCAAATTCAGAATACCTAACAGCAGTATAATGTTATTATCCAACACACAGTCTGTATTCAGATTTTGCCAATTATCCCAACATTGTCCTTTATAGTAATTTTGTATTTTCAGTCCAGGATCGCACGTTGCACTAGTTGTCATTATCTCCTTAGACTCCTTCCAATCTGAGAATAGTGCTTCAGCCTTTGATTGTCTTTTAGGACATGGATATTTTTTGAAGCACACAGGCTCATATTTCACAGAACTTTGCTCCTTATCAGTTTATATGTTTCCTCATGGTTTGATTCAGGTTAGGCATTTTGGGTAGAAACATTTTGTTGTAAGGCTGGGTCTGTGTCCCAGTGGAGATGTATCACAGTCTATGTTGAGAGTAAGTTCTGGTAGCACAGCACAGGGTCCCCGTGCAGCAGGCTGATAATGCAACAGAGAACGAAAGAAAGGACAGGGCGCAGAAGAACAACGCCGGGTCCCTGCAGACACCAGCAAGGTCGCTGCCAGGAGCTGCTTCAGCTGCGTTTCCAGGCAGACACTCACCCCCGCTACACGCTCCAGAGTATCACATGACCCTTTCCTGTAAACCAGGACTTCTGTTCTAGAGCTTAGCCTGTGGTCAGTTACCAAAGTCTTTCTCACTCCTGCGCTGCAGATGGCTTCACTGCAGATAGGACCTTCCTGATGTGAACTCAGGCAGCCAGCAGAGCTGTGGCAAGGCCACATAGTATTCGTGACAACTCCTCGGTGCTCACTGCCATTCCAAGTGGAGAGGCATTTGCTCAGGACCCCACTGTGCACCGGGACCTGGCATCCACTGTGTCTCCAGCTCTGCCTCAGAGCTGCGCCTTTGACACAGAGCTCCCAAGTGCTACCTCCGTATTTGCAAGTGCTTTTCCCTCTAGGTATTCATTTGCATTTTTTCAATCAGAATCTTATTTTGCTCCTTTCTGCTGTGTCTCTAACTCCCTCTCATCCTACAGTATTTTCTCTCCTTGCCAGTGTTGAAACGTGTTCTAATTTGGAACTCATTGAATTTCACTCAAGTGCTTAGTCCCATCTTTTTGAATTTCTCATCTGTACCTGACACACAGCAGCCAGCCCTCCCACGCAAGAAGAGTCTGGGACACTGATCCCCAACCTCCCCTCGTTAATCACGCCTCCCCCCAAGAGACAGCAATTTGAGCCAAATCTCAGAGCAACAATTGCTTTCTGAAAACAAAACAAACACTCCCAAGAGAGCACATCCCTACAACTTTGTTGTCAACCTGACTCTTAGAGGCAAAGGGTATTCCAAT